TCTGGTGTTTTCGGTCATTAATGGAATACCATCCTTATATGAGTGCTTTCTTCTAAGCTAATGGAGCCAGCCAGGCTTTAATTGACTGCAACAGAAAGACAACCCCTGGAAAAAATAGGGGACTTTATTCACTGTAGAATTACAATTTTTATGTCTTTTCATTCCTTAATATTCAAATACCACTAGTTCAAAATTATACAATAAAAAATAAGTTATCCAAGCTCGCACATAATAGTTCAGGTGAGCTGAGCAAGAGGCAGATCATAATTCCATAGTTTACCTTCATCCAAATGAAGGCATCATGGAATAAATGGAAGAAAAAGAATAAGAACAAACTGTTATGATGTTTTCTGCAAGAATACACAGCTTTCAGTTTGTCTATCCAAATTTTCATTAACATATTTTCTTAGGAAATAGGTCTGAAGTACCACTTTCCACACCTGGGCTGTCGTTGCCCTTACAAAGAATGAACAGGAGTTCATCATCATCACGGCTAGGCTTCGTGAGCGAAGATTTAGGAAGGCACTATCCACGTTTGTTACAGGTACGCTGGTGACTTATGAGGCCAATATGAGATAGATATATCCGATTGCAAAAGGCACAGCAGAAAGACTCCTTAGGTGGTGTATTCAGCAGGATAGGATTCTTTCTGCGATGTCTTTTCTCCTCAAGAGTGATCCTGCGTGCATTCTCAAAGGAAACGGCAGCGTTAAAGATGGTGTGTCTCCAGGCCTCCCAGTTTGCTGCCAGAGTAGACCAGTTATGATGATCAATGTGGCCGAGGCTGAGATGTTGTTTCAGGGAGTCCTTGTATCTTTTCTTCGGGACTCCTCTCTTGCGGTAGCTGGAGGCAAGTTCACCGTAAAGCAAGATCTTAGGGAGGCGGTGATCCTTCATCCTTGAGATGTGCCCTGCCCAGCACAGCTGTGTTCTCAGCAACATGGCCTCAATGCTAGTGACTGCTGCTTGTTCTAAAACAGATGTATTGGTCACATAATCTGACCAGTGGATGTTTAGGATTGTATGGAGACAGCGTTGGTGGAAGTGTTCTAGGAGTCGCAGGTGGTGGCGGTAGACGACCCATGATTCGGAACCATATAAGAGAGTGGACAACACTATGGCTTTGTAAACACCGATCTTGGTGCTTTTCTTCAAGTGTTTATTACGCCATACTCTTTTATGGAGTTTTTCAAAAGCACTATATGCCTTTGCTAATCTGTTGTCTATCTCCCCATCAATCTTACCATCTGAGGAGATGAGGCTACCTAGGTAAGTAAACTGTTGGACTGATTTAAGCTCTGACTGGACAATGGTGATATGGGGATGATGGAAGGCTTCCTGAGGTGCAGGTTGGTAGAGGACTTCCATCTTCTTTAAGCTGACTTCCAGTCCAAAGAACTCAGCAGCATCTGCAAAGCAGGATGTTAAACTGCAGAGCTGCTTCTGTGTGGGCAACAAGGGCAGCGTCATCAGCATAAAGCAGCTCCCGGACAAGATGGTTTAGAGTCTTGGTGTGTGCCTTCAGTTGCCTTAGGTTGAAAAGGCTTCCATCAGTACAGTATCGAATATAGATATCGTCCTGATCATCGAGGTCTGCCGTGGCCCTTTGGAGCATCCTGCTGAAAAAGACTGTGAATAGGGTTGGAGCGAGAACACAGCCTTGTTTCACACCGTTTTTTATTAGAAAGGGCTCAGAAAGTGCATTGCCATATCTGACTTGGCCGTGCTGATCCTCATGGAGTGAGATGATCATTTTAAGGAATTTAGGGGGACAACCTCTGATTGCTATCAAAAGAATTACTTTTACCTGGATGTACAGCATTCAGTACTTTTGAATGCATTCCTAAGAGATGTATTGGTCAGAAGCAATAATAAAAGTAGTTTCCTATTCCCTTCTATGAAAAAATATAAGGAAATGGTGGTTAATTATGAGATGGCAGCACCTCCACCCTCCTGAAAATACAGGACTTATTGCTCAGGAATACTAAGTTTCCACCTGCCACCTCATAGAGATTCCTTAAAAGGAAAAGAAAAAAAGGAAAATACTATTTTAATGCCATTCTCAGTGGCTGCTGTTTTGCTTGTTCAGCTCTAGTCAGCTCATCAGTTCATGTTCAGAAGTTGAAACTCAAAGTGATAGTGTGACCTATATCCATGGAGATTTATATACATAAATACAAGCACAAGTTATGTGCTTGTTTTGGACATAAATGATGTGAATCTATTCTCCACAGGGAAGAGTTCAAAAACATGAAAAAGTCAAAAGGTTTTCCATAGATTGTCCCCTTTCTACTCTGCCCCAGTGCAGGAATAACAGCATGCTATTTTCTATTTCTATTTTCTATGCTGGATTTTTTAGCCTTAGCCAGGGGATCTCCTTTAACTAGGAGTTTGTAGTGGGGTGACCGTGGTTGGATGCCAGGCATCAGCCAAAGCTGCTCTATCACTCTCCTCTGCCACTGGGCAGGGGAGAGAAAAATATAACAAAGAGTTCATGGGTTGAAACAAGGGCAGGAAGAGATCCCTCACCGAATACCATCATGGGCAAAACAGACTCAATTTGGGGATACTGATTGAATTCATTACTAAAAAATTCAGAGCAAGATAATGAAAAGTAAAATAAATCTTAAAAACACCTTTCCCCCACCCCTCCCTCCTTCCCAAGTTCCCCCTCCTTGCCCCCCACCAGCAGCACAGGGAGACGGGAACAGGGGTTATGGTCAGTTCATCACAGGTTGTTCCTGCCGCTGCTTAGGGAAAAAAGTCCTTCCCCTGCTCCCTGTGGGGCCACTCCCACGGGAGAAAGTTCTCCATGAACTTTTCCAGCGTGAGTCCATCCCATCACTCCTGATGGGCTCAGCCTTGGCCAGCGGCAGGTCTATTCTGGAACTGTATGGAATTGGCTGTCTTGGACTCTTGGAGGTCCGTCCTGGAGCTGTATGGAATTGGCTGTCTTCCTCTCTTGGAGGAAACTTCTAGCAGCTTCTCACAGAAACCACCCCAGAAGCCCCCCCGTCACCAAAACCTGGTATCTTCCTTTATCTACCTTTATCTTCCAGGCTTCTTTCTCCTTCACACTCCACCTGTCTGACAAGTTACTTTACGCAGCTCATACTCTTGATAAACAATGTACAGTATGGTGCAGTAGAGACATCTAGTGACAATTTCATGTAATTAAAACACAAAGGATTGCTGTAGGAGAGAAAAATAAACTTCTTCCAAACCCTTGAAATACCCATCTTTACATGCTCTCCTCAAATCCACTGACAAAATAATTTGCCAGTTCTGGGCTAATTAATACACAGGATGGAAAAAATTATCAAACATCACTGGCTTCTGTGTCTCCAGAGCCTCTTTCCTCCTTTCCCCAGGTGTCTTCAAAAACCTTGGATGCTACAATAAATAAATTTAGCCTAGCTTTGCATTGCTGGTACCAAGGACACCGTTTAGTGTACCAATACAAATCCCTTCCTCATGTTATTTTGCTAAAGAATCTTCCTCAGAACATCTTGGCTGCAAAGCCAAGTAACAAATGTCTTTTTCAACTGAATTACCACCTACCTGCTAAGGGAAGGGTAGGATGCTGGAATTAGAATGGGATGGATTTTGCAGTTGGAAGGGGGTTGGAATTGGGTGATCTTTAAGGTCTCTTCCAACTCAAACCGCTCTATAATTCCATGTTCCTTTGAACAGAAATTCTTCAGTCCTGAGATATTCTGCTCTTTAGGTGCCGAAATCTAAGCTGTCCATTAACATCTACTTTCCAATTAGTAAAGAGAAATAGCTACCTCCATGGTCCTAGCATGTTCTCCTGAAAGGTCAGAGGAATGGTCCCTGAATGTCTCCTGAGGAACCAGCTGAAGGAGGCAGCAGGAGCAAGATGTGTCCTCTGTTCCTGCAGTGTCCCAGGCTGCTGCTGAAGGACAGGACCTGGCTCCAAGGAAAGAGCTTTGTATGTGACCACTCCATCAGTTCTGTCAAGTGCATAAAATAATGAAGATCAACCTGACGGTGCTTGTCTGCCTTGCCAGAAACCTCCTCTCTCAAGAGGAAGACTCCTGAATCATGAACATGAACTAGGTCGTTCATGATGGGCCAGAGCTACTAAAAAAGTAAATGTAAAGAATAATAAATGTACATGTAATAATAAAAAAACCTGTTTGGCTTCAGACTGAAAGAGGGGAAATTCAGGTTAGATGTAGGGAAGAAATTCTTCCCTGTGAGTGTAGTGAGGCCCTGGCACAGGTTGCCCAGAGAAGCTGTGGCTGCCCCATCCCTGGAAGTGTTCCAGGCCAGGTTGGATGGGGCTTAGAGCAACCTAGGCTAGTGGAAGGTGTCCCTGCCCATGGCAGCAAGTTGGAATGAGATGATCTTTAAGGTCCCTTCCAACCCAAATGATTCTATTACTCTGTGATTAATACAGAACTTTTCAGTTACCAGTGTTGTGAAAGCCCATTCTCAACACAGTTCAGTGATTTAAGCTGAAAATGTTGAAGTCATTCTTCTTTCTTTTTTTCATACTTCTTCTATGGCTGGTCCCAAGAGGTCAAAATATTGCATTCCTTGACTTACCATCATGATAATTCCAAAGAACTGTGTTGTCTGTCTTTAATGAGAAAATTTGATGACCAACATGAAGAGGAATAATAGGTCAGACTCAGCCCTGGTTTAATTCTGAGTTTAATAATGCCACTGGGATATGAGGACTAGCATGTGGTGTAGAGCTGATTGAAGAGCAGAAATTCCCCTGGGAGAAGAATTCAAAGTTTTGCTATAATTTTAAGTTACCATAAACTCAAAAAAATTAGAAATTTCTATGAGGATGAAAATCCAAAGAAAAAAAAAAAGAAAGTTGGCCTTATAGCAACATTTTCAAACCTGATTTTTAAAATTAATTTTATTCTTCATGAAATAAATTTAAAGAAAATTTAAATGTAGAAAAAAAATTTTTTCCAAACTCTTGAAATTCGTTTTTTTCAGCAATAAAAACCTCCCTACATCATTGTTTCCTGGTTTCAACCCTGAACTACTGAAGTTTAGGAGGAAGTGATCTGATAATCACAAACTGAACAATCTAATCACAAACTGAACAATCTAATCATCACGATCTGAGTTGAAACACATTTTAGTGTCCATTTGGTTTGAGGAGGATATGAACACACTCAGCATGTTGCCAGCTTGAGTTCCAAACAAAAATTAGATGTAGGCTGAAGGTCCCATTTTATGAGAAAGTTGATCAAAATCACACCTTTAATAGAACATACACCATCAGAAGGGAGTAAGAATGAAGAACTGCTTACCAAAAGCTACAAGGTGAGAATCTACATTTGAAAAAATAGGGTTCTAGTTTCCTTCCGTTTTACAGACATCTAAACACTTGTTTTGACCTCTTGTGGTATGGTGGAGAGTGGCCAAAAATAGGGGATGGTACTTTTTCAGTGAGTCCATTTTGACTGCAGGTCTGAAAGCAGCTTTTCAAAATGGCAAGTGAGGTGGTTTATGCTGAGGTATCACCCAAGGAAAGAGTACATTTCACTTCAGAAACTTCAGATACAGGTAAAAAAATGCAATAATGTTAATAATATTAATACCATTCATAATTTAATGTTACTTCATTTCCCTCTGCTTAATGCCACATTTCATTCTTTCTTAGATCATTCAGAAGTCATGTTGAAAGCATTTTGATAACTATTAATAACCTCCCCTCTTTATTATATATCTATTTGCTTGGCAAATTCGTGTTTATTAATAGATTAAATACTGAATTCTAGCGAAAGTGAAGACTGACCTTTAAAATCCCATTCTGGATTTCAGTAGTATGGCTGAAATGTTCTGTTTCTGAAAAAAATTAATGTTCAGACATTGAAGATATTTACACGGATTATTGGAAACTCATTGACAGCTGAATGGACTTCTCCCTCCTGCAGTACACTTTTATTTTATATCTTAATTTGATTCCTTTCTTCAACACCGGAAATATTTTTAAATTCTAAAATGATAGGTCTGTTTCTAGTTTTAATTCTCTTTCTTTCTTCTTTCTTTCTCTCTCTCTTTTTCTTTCTTTATCTGTCTCTGTCCCCCTTTTTCGTTTCTAAAAGTTCTATGGTGAGAAAAATGCAAGTCAAGTTTTAATAGAAGTCTCTGTAATTTTGAAAACTGTTAGCCCTCCAATTTGTGTATGACCTACTGATATCTTAAACTGTAAAACTGATTACTCAAAAATTTTATTTTCAAGTAATAAAGTGCAAAATATAGCCATTAATGGATAAAAGCAGGAAAAAATTCATGTTTATAAGACATATATTTTACCAGTATGAGATGCTTGGAAATTCAGTATCTAAAAATTTTTTGTGGGCAATTATAAGGCTGAATAAGTAACCAAATTTCATGCAAAATATTTTTCTTATGCTTTAGAGTAGGACAGCATGGTATTTTGAAAAAAATCTTTTCAATTGCAATAGTAAAATATCACCAGTTCTTGTAACTTCTCCTAATCTTGCATCCCTTTTGGTGTCCTAATAAATATTTTATTTTAATATTATCCTAAAACATTGACTTCCACAGGCTGTTTGTAATATCTTGCATGAAGAAATACTTCAAATTGATCTGGAATATGACATCTATTAACAGCATCAGTGTGTGCTACTGAGATATAGTGAAAAAACCTCACCTATCTTTATAATTAATAATTTTTCACATTCTTATATTTATAAAAATTTCCATTCTTACAAACTCTCTCTTCGATTTCTGTGTGTGTTCCATTGCTTTCATATTTGAGAGCCTGAGTGCAGGAAACTAAGCTCTCATCTTCTGCCAAACTCTGTTAAACTGTTCTGACTCCTTGGCAGCTGCACGAGGAAGATTTTTTTAGAAAGTTCTAAAAAAATGGGTTAGATTCGACATTTTTCATAAGTCTGAGGTAGATCTCAGCAGCCCTGGCACCCTTAGGACGTTGCTTTTCTTCAGGTCAAAGCTTGGTGTTTGCCGTTACAGAGAGTTCAGAGCAGGGATGTTGCCTATCACGCACCTGCCTGAAAACACTCAAGAGACCTTGCGGTCTTAATCCATACATATTTGACATTAAGTCATTGATACAGTAAGGCTAAATTTGCTCCTTTGAAACAAAAATTATAACCTAGTCCATAAAAAAGGGGTGTTCATACTGCCCTACCTGTGAGCATTTTCTTGTTACACACTTCAATGTTTGTACTGCCTTACCTGATTTTGTGGCTCTAAGTTAGCTTTGCTTCCCCACAGCCATTACGCTTGTCCACTAGTTAGCCTGCAACCTACTTCTCCTCTGCCTTCAGCTTCTGCTTTCTTGACTTTTTACAAGAGGAGGACAGAGCTTTTAACCTGCAGGCCTGGATATGTCCTACGTTTTGCACTGCTGAAATTTGCATTTGCTCGTCTTCCCCGTGGCACTTCAGAGAAAAATCTGTTTGGTTCTCTCTTAAGATTGAAAAAAAAAAACCAAAAAACAAACAACTTATTTCATACACTATCAGCAAGCAAATTTGATGGAAGAAGCTCCTGAGAAATGAGGTAAAACATGCAAAGCAGGCAACCTCCAAGGTGTTGTGTTGCAGTTGATGTAAAAATATAGCTTCTTCCTTCCTTCTGCTGCCACACCTACCGAAAACTGCTGTGAAACATGTCCTGTCACTCACCTACTCTGATAGTTCATCTTTGGATTTAATATCACCCAATGGAGGATAAACTGTGTCACGGGGCAGTACCTCACCTCATTACACCTGCAGTTATCTTTCTAGTTGTACCTCTTCCCACAAGCTTTCCTGATTGCACAAAATTATTGAATTGGGCCAATGGTCCTGTAGACATCCCCTGGGCAGTGAGATACCTTCTGGACATACCTTTAACTATGTGAATTTGAAAATGCTATCTAGGTGATGCAACTCAACTAAATAATAGAAGTCAGGTACCTAAACATCATCTTTGCCTTCCTTGGGCTTTGCATGCAGCACTGGCCACTGAAAGCCAAAGAATGGGTTGTTTTTGCAGGGATAGTGAGAGAGATCTCCGCTGTTCTGCAGTGTAAGCATCCACACGTAAGAACAGACAAGTGTGGGCAAGGCCTCCAAAGATAGGGAAAGCTCCTATGAGACAGGATATCTTAGTTCTTGTGCTTAAAGCAAAGCAGTTTCAGCAAGCCACATGCCTTCTTGGGAAAATGAATGGCTTGCTGCTGAAAACTCAGCTGCCAATTCCTCTTCCAGCCGACCTTGCATTATTGTTAGCTAATCTGGTGATTGAGCTCTTCTGATAGTCCAGCAGACAGGAATTCTCCACTACTGAGGCGAGGAAGGCAGAGAAAGTAATTTGCCAGGCATTTCCAGACTTTTGAGGGAACCCACCCTGACAACATTTTTTGTGCTGTTGTTTGTAAAAATCTTGTAACACACAGTGAAGCACTTTTTTTACTGGGTGCAACCAGGAGTGTCACAACCATTCCAGTGGTTACTGGGGCATAGGAGGGTTTTCTACTCATTGACCACCAGATAGGGAATGGGAAGATCTCTGTCCTGTCACATTTGAAAGCCTAATGTAAGACTACAGAAAGTTCTGAAGTGCCTGCCTCAGGCTCCATGCATGGAAAGCAGTGACTGGAGGAAGATCATGTGATGACCTGCCATTAATAAAAATCTCATTTAAACTCATGGAAGGATGAAATTGAGGAAGAAAAATCCGTGGATGAAATGAAAAAAGTATGTTGATATTTTACATACATTTTAAAATTATGTTTCATTCGTTAGGGATGGGAAATAGCCTGTCTTTGCTCTATGCACATGCTTTGTTCCAACAGGAATTGTGCTCTTCTTTATGAAAGAGGAAACAGGACAAAAGGCATATTTTGTAGCCATGTACAAGATCTGAATTCGGTAGGAAGAAGTTTATTGAGAAATAAACAGGAGAAAAAATTAATTCACTGAAAAGAAGTTGTCATTGATTAACTTCTGCTTAGAGGTTGACAGAATGTATATACTTGTGTAAAAGAAGAAAAAATAGAATTATTATTAGAGTAGTTCACTGTGTGACAAGTTATGGTCACCTAGAAGGGTTTTTTAAAATTTTCATAGATTTAATAACTGAATAACGTTTCCTTATTTTATTTTATTTTATTTTATTTTGGAAAACTGCACAGCAGGGCAATTATATATGTGAAGTCTCCTAGTAATTTCTTTTTAGCACATTTACTCAGTGACAGAAAAAAAAAGTAATAAAGTAACGTCTCTTGCATGTTGTTGCTCTTCTCACTTTCCCAGAGGGGGTCTGATGCTGCAGGGGATTGAGTGCAATGAGCATGGCAAGGGCTGGCCTTGGGCAGGTTCTAATTGCAACACTTTTGTTCCTGCAGGTGATCCAATCACATATGCTGAGGTGAAGGTGGAATGGAGATCTGACAGACCTGACAGCACATCCAAAATTACACATTCAGGTACTACAACACTGCAGGCAGGACACTTCACCTTTTCTCATTGCATTTTATCCTCTTTGTATACCTCTTTGTATTACACACAGTGGAGGAGTTGCTTAGGGCAAAGTGCCCAAAGAGATGTTGATATTAGGAAGAAATTCTTCCCTGTGAGGGTGGTGACGCCCTGGTACAGGTTACCCAGAGAAACTGTGGCTGCTCCATCCCTGGAAGTGTTCCAGGCCAGGTTGGATGGGGCTTAGAGCAACCTGGGCTAGTGGAAGGCGTCCCTGCCCATGGTAGGGGGTTGGAATGAGATGACCTTTATGGTCCCTTCCAACTCAAACCGTTCTGTATTTAAAACAAAACTGAGCTACTTTTACAAAATGATAGCCAGGAAGCAAAAATTCTGGACAGTGTTTTGACAAGTGTCAGAAAAATTATGTCTATCACTTCTTAAGTTAAAATTTTAAGATATATTAAATTTTCTCAAACTGTGTAAGTAAATTTTGTTCTACAAAGTGAAATCGTCTTGGATATGAGTTTTAGCTCTTGTGTGTGAGGTGAAAATGAAGTAGAGAATGAAAGAAAATATTCCATTCATGCAATGCAATAAGAGCATTTAAGATATTTATAGAGAAAAGTGGTAGCTGCGGCAAATGCTAGTGAGAAAAGGTATTTCCACTGGGGTTTTAATTTGGCCTTACAACAAGGAAAAGAAACTGAAAGCTTCAGATGGTTATCTGATTAAAAGTGGTGGTTGGGCAGATGAGAGAGTGGGACAAGTGGAGATCTCAGTCTGGCTGTTACAAAGGCAAAACCAATTCACTGCTTTCATTGAAATGCATTTCATTAATAATGATTTTATCCCAGTGAATGCAGGATGGGACTGCAGCATGAAAAGTGTGGTCACTAATATGGTTTTGATATATGGCCATCGACCCATCTGGTTTTTAGCTACCTTTTTATAGCACTCAGTCCTCACTTCCTCCCTCTGATTCTGTCTACACTGTCCAGGTTTTCAGAATTTTGTTCAAGGAATATCAATATATGCTATAAATATGGAAAATTACTATAGAAGAGCTCTGTCCCTTCACATTCTTCACTGCAAACTCTTTAAAACCACAGAAGTCAGATGTTCTAATTCTCCATTAGATTGGGGGGTGGTTTACATGGAAAGTATGAAGGAATGGGGATCTAATGAACACAAAGATCCTAGTCAGGATTACAGTTGGAGCAGAAAATGATGGAGACAGGGATTTAAAGGCTATAGAAACAAATGTTTCTTTGTTGTGCTTAAAAATTATGATAATCTGGAAAGAGTCTCTAGAATTTCAAATTACTTATAACACCTTTTTAAAGCCTGAATATGAACTACAGGATTTCCCTGTGGGTCTTCGGTTTTGTAACCTCAGGAAAATAACACAATCATTGCAAGGCCTTTTCCAAAGAAAAGGCAGGGTATATTTCAGAGTGGGAAGCACTGGCTGTGCTGTGTGCACATGGCAAAATGTTGACGTGGCAGGGTTGGCAAAGCTGTGCTCTGTCACAGAAGGTAAGAAGTCACATTTTTAGGTGTTTTCTCAACAGCTATGATGATAAAAATTAGGAATGGCCAAGAAAAGGGCTCTTCTGTCCCTGAAAACGTGATTTTATGTATGCACACAGGTTTGTATACATATAAACCTACATACATATACAGGTGTTAGATCTACAGCACCCAGTGTAACACACTCCTGCTGAAGGCCTGGTACAGTGATTTTGCATCTTCCTATAACTCAGAACAAAAGTTGACTTGCTTTCTGCCTGTGGTGAGACTCATCTCCCTTGTCCCTTTGGCAGTGACCTGCTTGGAGAACTCACACCAGTGTTATGTTGTTTTCGCTCTGGTCTTCACTGCAGTGATTCTGCTCATCACTGTCATCCTCTTGGCAGTGAAATGTCCCAGCCTCTCAGGTGGATGCTGACGTCTTGCTGACACACAGGGTAAGCCATTTTTAACTGTGTCCTATTTTCATACAACACATTTGCATTTATCAGATGAGGTGCAAGGAAGCTCCCAAACCAAATGCTGGGTTGTTCAGAGAATCACAGAGTATGCTGAGTTGGAAGGGACCCACAAGTCCAAGTCCTGGCCCTCCTGGCCCATCCCCAAGAGTCACACCATGTGCCCAAGAGTATCATCCAAACACTCCTTGAGCTCTGTCAGTCTTAGTGCTGTGACCACTGCCCTGGGGAGCCTGTTCAGTGCCCAACCACCCTCTGGGGAAAGAGTCTCTTTCTAATATCCAACTTAAACCTCCCCTGATAAAACTTCAGGCCATTCCTTCAGGTCCTGTCACTGATCCTCACAGAGAAGAGATCAGTGCCTGCCCCTCCTCTTCCCCTCACAAGGAAGTTCAGTCTGGGATTTGAAGGCAATCAGGATAACAGTTGTTCAATTCAGACTAGGAATGGCAGTGGACAGAGAAATCCTCAGAGAAATCCTTCCCATCCACATGTAGTCCTTACATAGAGCCAGAAGACAACTGGCTTCTCCCTGGAAGTTGTCACTGAGTGGCTCCCTTGTGATAGCTGCATGACCAGACCTCCATCCCAAAGCATCCCAAGTCTTGCTATGGTTCTCATGGCACAGAGGTGCCCTCTCTTTACTCATAGGACCCTCACAGCAGGTTAATCTTCAGTGAGATTCTCTAATTCTAGTAACTTTTTTCTCTTTTATTTCCAGATAACTCAGCCCAGGAAGGTTCTGCTTGTTCAATAGAACAGGACATAATGCTTGTTTTCTTTTACATGATTTTCTCTGAAGAGACCTGTATGAAAGAAGACCTGCCATCAGTCTGATCACTCTTCAGTTATGTCATCCCAGATCTCTGTTAAACCTCTAACCTCTCCATATCTGGGCAAGACATATATTAATTTTATTTGGAGTTTTCTTAAACCTGTAATACCAGCAACCATTCAATTATATCAATGCGTGTAGCAAGGCCTGGGTTCAAGCTGCTGCATCAAAAGTTGTATTTGGGTCTTGTTTAGACTACAAAAATGACCCAGTGGACTGCTTGGAGACCTACATTTAATTCACATCTGACTTGATTCTGCAATACTTTGCAATATAGATAAGCTTTTAGATTGCATTATGTGCAACTGCAAAAATTCATGGACAAAACAGTGAATGTCAAAGGTTGCACTGAACTTTTATATAAAGCCCAGGTTTGGACTTGATTTTTCTTCCCTTGACAGCCTTCAGTGAGATTTGTATGAGGGGAGTATTGAAGATGCAAGAAACTATATTCATTTAGTAGAGAGGTCTCAGTCTCATCCCTTCATTGGCTTGAATAAAATTATTCTGTTCTACTTGTCCAGAAGAGTGTCTCACAATATATTCATTCTGTCTTGGGGCAATAATTAATTTTGTATTCGTTTGGGGTTTTTTTCCCCAAATGTTGTAGCTTCAGTTAAAACAGAGTCCTCCTCTGGATGCACCCCGGGTTCAGATGTATGTGTTGGTAATTATTATTATATTGTCTGGTTTTATGTTATTTTCAGTTCTTATCCATTATAACTTCTTTGGGGCAGGCTGATATCAATGATTTGCAGACCCCAAGCAGGAGGAGGCTGCATAGCAAATATTTCTATAATTGTTCCTGTACTTAAGATGTGTTGTTGCTGTTGTTAATGTACCCCATCTCTATAGTGAAATCAATAAAGGGATTTAGTCAAGCACTTGATACGCTGGTGTTTGTTATTATGTTAGTCAGACAGGAAGAAAAATAACATTTAGTATTTGTATGACCTTCAAATTGTTGTCATGAAGGTCCTGGCACCTAAGAGACAACCATTTGCACTGGGGGGACAATGGGGTAAGCACCAACAATGGGGTCTGCACTGGTTTAAAGGTAAACCAGCAGGGGAAATGAACTCAACTCAAAGGAGAGATTATAAATCAGAATAACAATTTAATAAAATAATACAATGTGCTGGTTTAAAAGTTAACCAGCAGGGGAAATGAACTCAACTCAAAAGAGAGATTGTAAGTCAGAATAACAATTTAATAAAATAATACAATAAGCACAACTACACAGACAAGCAATTGGTATCAACCCACAAAACCCAAATGTACAACCTGGCACCCCAGGGCACAAACAAAACAGTGCTCCCTGGGCCCCCCCTGAGTCCAAAGCAAAGGGAGAGGGGAAAAAACCTGCTGGTGGGAGAGCTGCTGCAGTCCAGCTAAAAGTGGTGATTGTAGTCCAGCCGAGGGTGGTGGTGAGCTGCAGTCCTCCTCTGGGTCCCACGAGTGGAGAGAGTGGCAAGGTTCTGAAACTCCAGGTTTATATATTCTCCAGCTCTGGCAGCAATGCTTAGCCCCTCCCCCAGAGTGGGGAATTCCATAAAAGGATGTTCAGTCCTTCCCTCAGAGTGGGGAATTCCATAAAAGGGTGTGAGGGTGCTCAGTCAGGGAATTTCCACAAAAGGGCATGAGGACAGGAGCATGGGGGGGGCACCTCGCAGGCCTCTACTGACAACAGTTTCTGTGAAATGGCATGGAGGGCTATAGAATACACAGTTTTGGGCTACACCCATCCAATGATGAATCGGTCCCAGCTGTTCTAACTAGGACATACAATAAGTACAATTATACAGATAAACAATTGGTTTTAACCCACAAACCCCAAATGTATAACTCTGGGGCATGAACAGAGTGGTGTTCTTTGGGCCCCCTGAGTCCAAAGTAAAAGGAGAGGGGAAAACCTGTTGGTGAGAGTGCTGTTGCAGTCTGGTCAAGAGTGATGAATGCAGTCCAGTCGAGAGTGATGGTTGCAGTCTGGTTGAAAAGTGGTGGTTGCAGTCCAGTCGAGAGTGGTGGTCTGCAGTTTGGTTGAGAGTGGTGATCTGCAGTCTTCCTCTGGATCCCACGAGTGGTTCCAAAAGTTCCAGGACTCCAAGATTATATATTCTCCAGTTCAGGCAGGAATGCTCAGTACTTCCCTCAGGGCGTGGAGTTCTGCAAAAGAGTGTGAGGACAGGGAGGCACCCTCCTATCTCGCAGGCCTCTTAACACCCAGTTTATAGCCTGAGGAGTCAGGCTGCTCTGGGCAGAAGGTGTAAATAGTCTATTGATACCAGTTTCTGGGAAATGGCATGGAAGGCTATAGAATACACAGTTTTGGGTTACACCCATACAGTGATGAACTGGTCCCAGCTGTTCTAACTAGGACAGGGTCACTGGTCACAGATATGACATTGGGCATATTACACATGACATCAAAAAATAAACAAGTGACTGTAAATCTGCCACTGGGGAGTTGTCTCTCATCTTTGTTTCTTGCCTCTGGAGGTTCCTCAATTTCTTATTACATTCTCTCTTCCTCTGGTTGCAGGCACAGCCTGGAGCTGTGAATGACACTGATTGCTGCTGCCCACGCTTGGCTGGTTTTTTTCCTGGCCTTTCAGGCATTCTCTCATCCCCTGGCTGAGAAGCCCCATCCCTTTTATTCCTGAACACAGTAATGAATGTGGTAATTAATTAATTAATTAATTAAAAGAATGCAAACAAGCCATTAGATGTGTAATCTGCAGGAGTGACAAAATCCCTTTGTTTTGTCCGTTTTTGCAGGGAAGTGAGTTTATGGCACACTTGTTTTACAGATCTTGCTACTCACCCTCTTCTTTTTTCAGAAAGCCAGAAGCTGGAGCCAAGACACAGGCAAAAATAAGAGATTTGACATTTAGCAAGTGGAAGGTGAGCAGACAGAAATATTAGGTGGGCAATAGAAGAAAGCACAAGGTGAAGGTAACATGAAGCAATCAGTGAGGTGTCAGAACCAAATACTTTTAATAATCCTACATTTTTTTAAATAGTTGAATAAGACTCTATCACAGAGGAAGACTCCATAACCAGTATGTCCAGAGAGTACCATCTCTTTTACCCTTCTGCTTGCAAATATCTTCATCCAACAGCCTCCCAGTTACCTTGGGTCATGCACTCCTCAGATTTATACAGTCTGGAGAAAGAAGAGGGGAAATCTTATAGTAATTTCCAGGATATTTGCTTCTTAGCCTATCCCTTTGTCAAATATAAAGACAGATAGGACTAAGGGGTTTTATTGTTTCTAGCCTTTTTCATCATCCTAAAAATACTAAAGATTTCATGTCTGGTCTCCTAGTTTATTCAAAGAATCTCGTGGAGGTCTGACAGATGAGGTAGTGTGCTATATTATGCTGGAGGTTGGAGAAATAGCTAAGCTTTTATCCATTTCCATTCTCCATCTGTAAATATACTATATAAATATACTATGGAAATGAAATAAGCAGAACCCCAGCCCCCTGTTTAACAGTATCCAAATATCCTTCTCATTTGACATATTATTCTTTTTGGCAAGTCAAAGATGAATGGGAATGAAAAGCAACAGCTCTGGTTGATCACCAAGACAGTGCTTCAGCTCCTCAGACACAGACTAAATATGCTGGGACCCTGAAGGGCATTGCCTGACCTGTCTTCTTCAGTGCCCCATCTCACTTGGTTTTCCAGTGTGACATGTTTTAATTTGCTATCAGCTCCAAGCTGCTGTCCCAGGCTGAAAGCCATGTGAGGACAAACAGAATTACGGGTCTAGATAACAAAAAGGACCAAAGGAGATTACACACAAGAGAAAGCCTTTAGGGCTGTAGGCCGCAAAAGTAGGTGCTTTGAGCTGTTAGGAGCATTTCGTGCCCTTTAGGAATGGCAATAGAAGAGGAATGAGTAGGCAGAAGGGGAAGGGAAGATAGTAAAATCTTTCAAGATGGCAAGATGCTGCTACACTGGTGGCTGTGAGTGAAGGTTACCACAGGTTCTGTGTCAGATCTGTGGCTTTTTTTCAAATGCGAAAATCACAAAATGTGCCACCTAGATTTGGGAAGAAAGCCCTTCTAAAACTGGGGCTTTCGTGTGTTTCCAAGTTATCTCTGTTTGGTTTCTTTGGATGACAGCAACCTTTCTATCACCAAAAAACTGCTACAGAATCACCTCCACTGATGAATCCTTTTGACTGATTTCTTTCTGTCACTATTACCTGCTAGTACCTGCTATCACTATTATATAGCTTATTTTATATGGTCACCAGAAATACTCTCTTCCTGCAACTATAGGTGTAGGCAGAAAATAATTGATTGTTCCACTCCCTGGTTATCTGCTGTGTGACAGACCACCACCTTCAGTGGTCCCTGAACATCCCAGGCACGAGGGATCTTTAAGCCCCCCACTTTTCCTATCTTTGCCTTTCACTGTATCCCGTTTCATACACTCTTTAGCAGCTACAAAACCTGACAGAGAAAAGGTAGGTCAGTGAGTTACCATTTATCTGCTTTTCCTTCTGCAGGTCTCAGAACTCTTCCCGGATATGAACCACTTTCTAAGACAATCATTTAAAATGACCCAAATAGTAGCTAAATGTGGAATGAAACTCTCTTTTTTTTGTAGGCATGGAATTCCACTTGGACTCATGATTCCTTGCTATTCTTTATATTTTATGACCAGAACATGGACCAAGTGGTGATTGCCTTAACGCATCACCACAACCTGCATTAGGTAATGAGTGTAAGCAGAAGATGAGAGCAGAAAGTGTAGTGTACTTAAATATTCATTTGTACAGAGACTGTAAGATTGGGAAGAGATGTGGAATTTATACTTTAATATCAGTGTGTATGAGTTAGTTGAAACATCTGAATTTGTATTACAAATTTTTCTGTTGAACAGAATAATTATTCTGCTCTTGTTCCAAGAGGCTTTACGATTTCAGATTTATGACCTGAACATGCTGCTTTTTAAAGCAATTAAAACCTGGAGTCTTTTTCTTCTGCTGTTTTGGCAATGCTCCACGTGTCCCTGAGGGAGAACTTCAATGCTATCAAGGAGAGGGAATGATGGTTTCAACTAAAATTACTACAGAGTGCTTGGACCCTACTTGTTAAGTTCAGGAGCAGACACAGGTCTAGTCACAAGCATAAGAGTGTGCCTTACTTATCACCTGCTTCAGGAGAAACAGGGCTGACTCACATTCCCATATCCCATAATGTGGGATCTGGACTAGATAAACAGACCGAGATCAACGGTATGAGGTTCAACAGGTGCCGGGTCTTGCTCTTGGGTCACAGCAACCCCCTCCAGCTCCAGGCTGGGGCAGAGTGGCTGGAAAGTGCCTGTTGAGAAAGGCCATGGAGTGCTGGTGACAGCAGCTGGACATGAGCCCAGGTGTGTCCAGGGGGAGAAGAGGCCAATGGCACTTGGCTTGGATCAGCAATAGTGTGGCAGCAGGACCAGGGCAAGGATTGTCCCCCTGTGCTGGGCACTGGTGAGGCCACACCTCAAATCCTGTGTCCCGTTCTGGGCCCCTCACTGCTGGAAAGACATTGAGGGGCTGGAGGGTGTCCATAGAAGGGCAATGGAGCTGGTGAAGGGTCTGAAGCACAAGTACTATAAGGAGCAGCTGAGGGAGGGGGGGGGGCTCAGTCTGGAGAAAAGGAGGCTCAGGGGGGACCTTCTCACTCTCTACAACTTCCTGACAGCAGGTTGTAGCCAGGTGGGGGGCAGGCTCCTCTCTGAGGTAACAAGTGACATAATGAGAGGACAAAGTCTTAAGCTTCACCAGAAGAGGTTCAGATTGGACATTAGCAAGAATTTC